ACTATGCTAGTTACTAGTAGAAATTAACGTTCTTCTTAGTAAGGAAATATAACTTTAAATACATACATTTTATAAATATAAACACCTATGATTAAAGTAAAAACATTCTTGCTCATCACACAAATTAATGCCCCCAGCGGAACGCGAACCCGCGACTGCTGGCACAGCCAGTACAGTCACTACACACTGAGCCAAACGTGTCGTTTGGTCGATCGATCGAACGATCCTACAAAGTCCTACAGTCTAGGCGTTATAGTTTCCCTTGAGGAAATCACATAGAATTCTGCCCTTTGAATCCTGCCCTTTTCTGCCTCTCTAAAGCCAGAGCCAGAGTTTCTGAAGAAAAAAACCATTTCTATGTTTACATCAGCATTATTGTATTATATCAGAATAGTCAGTGGTTATATCAGAGTAGTCTAGTAAGTTTTCTTTCCTTTATTATTATTAAAACTAACAGATTTTTTTAAATAAATATAACATTAAAAATCACTGAGATTTATGTAATGTTAGTGTATGCCTTTAAAACAAAGAACCATGATGAAGTAAAATAATCTTCTATATACATTAAAATCGATGTGTGTATGTATGTTCCTTATGGACTCCTAAACGGCTGGAGTGATTTTGATGATTTTTTTTAAATCTTCAGAGAACCCAGCTGGTGATCCTGTGAAATTTGGCAGCGATCGGAAGTTTGAACGCGGGCGACGCCGCGGCTACTGCTAGTTATAAATAAAATACCATTTTATAACTGTCACTTACCAAAGCAGGTGTTTTATTCATTTCAACCCACTTGGATACGTTCAAACAGATCACAAAAGCGTATCAGAAGAAAGCAATTTCGCCTCGGATAAGTATTGTAACCCTAATTGCTGTTACTTCATTCTGTTATTAAAGAAAACAATGAGCTGCCTTATCACCTTGGTATAAAGTTGAAATTTCTATAGCATTTCACTACCAAAATACTAAAGGAACAGTTGTAGATTGTTTTTATTTTTACACTCGTATTTGTATCCGGTGTTGCTTATTTTCTATTACCAATATGATACTGCTTTTGTTATATTTTCTTTTGCTGCAATTCACTCTATTAATGAAATACATATATTTTGCATGTGTTCTAGTTAGGCATAATGTACTTCGTCACGAAAAGTGGGGAAAACGCGAAAAATTATAATAATTTAAATAAGGAACTTAATATTCCTAGAGGCCACCAAGAGAGACTCCAAGGCGAAGAGGTTTGTTTGAAGAGGACTCCTCCAGCATTTTCAGACTATCAATCAAAAATCTACCATGACAGTCAAACCGTCAATCCTATTAGTATAAGCCAATATTAATCAAAAAAATATCATTTTTAAAAAAAGAAATCAAAAAAGGGAGGTGGTGTAAATATATTATGAAAAAAAAATCTGAATTATTTACTACGTTAGCTCTAACTAATTCTAAATGCAGAAGTTCTCACAAAACTGTAATATATTAATTATTTACATATGTTTTGAGTTCGGGAAAGCGATTTTGGTATCTTACTTATAATATTAAGTTTGCAATTCTTGTATATTTATATATAAACTTATTTCGTGTATCTCGGAAACAGGAAACGATTTGGATCAAATTTTATATTTAGATAAGATTTTGCTTTTTAAGTTTATCAATATAGGACCCTTTTCAAAAAAAAACGCTACTTTTCACAGATAAAAACCAAAAAACAGCCAATCAGAGCTCGGTCGTTAAAGTAGGTACCATAATACCAGTAATATAATAATAAATATGGTATTTAACATCAAGTATAGTTATAATGTTTTTAAATTAACAGACATTATAATATTTTATGCATATATATTCAAGTTTTCACCATAGAACTTTGGGATTGTTCACTTTCGTAATGAATCCAGTTTGTTTCATGTTTTTATTATTAATTAGGCGCCTTCTATTTTAGAGTTAAAATTTTTCTTTGTACATTATTAATGTTTTATTACAAAGGAAGTTAATTTGAAATGAAGTAAAATAAAATTTATAAATATCCTTTTTTCAGTTTGAACTATAATGTCATGTAAAATATAATATAACTAGCAACTCACACTCGCTCCGCTTGGATTCGTCCTTAGGTACGTTTTAACGTTCAGTATAGATTTCTCAGAGATGAGATATTTTCCTGCAGTAAAAAGTATCCTATATGTTGACCCGGAGAATCAGCTATTGTCATACAAAATTTCATGAAAATCTGTCTAGTGGTTTCTCAAGATTCGTTCAAAGACAGACAGAAAAAAATTCTAAAAACTATAGAGTCGGCCTCGGTATCGATAATAATGAATATTTCAATAAGATTTTCCAAAAATTCAACTCAGTTACAATTTTATTATACGTATATATTATTTTAAATTAAATATATTAGTTATAATTATAATATATAATATTACGTATGTGTATAAAATTATTTTTTGTTTAACTAATTATACAGCAATAAAAATAATGTATGAGGCTTATATTTTATTCATATATTTCTTTTAATCTTCATTTTCTTTTAATATATATTCGTACATTTTTTTTTACTTTTATATTTTAATTGTATAAATTATAAAAAAACGGTTGGATTAAGTAAGCAATTTAAGTAAGCAATAAAATAAAAATTGATTCTGCGAGACCTATGTCTTGTAGATCGAGAAAAAAACCTCGAACTAAATTCTTTCGACTTTAATAATGTACTCACATATATACAAATACGTACATATCGAATACTCGAATAACAGTATTATTATTATTGATTAAAAGTTATATGTACAGTGTGTGTGTACATAGGTATAATAAAATTGTAACTAGGTAAGTCGAATCTGTACATTAAATATTTTTTGGAAAATTATTATCGATACACTGTCTGAATCTATAGTTTTTAGAATTTTTGTCTGTCTTTCAGTTACCGCATCACGAGAAAACCACTGAACAGATTTTGATGAAATTTGGTATGATGATAGCTGGTTATACGAGTCAGCATATAGGATACTATTTACCACGGGAAAAATATCTCATTTTTGAGAAAAAATACAAAAACTGCATTGTAAGAGTATACTAATATGTAAAACCTAAGAATTTGGTTTTTGGTCATCTGAACGTGGGCAATGCTAGTACATATATAAAACTCGTGACTAACCCTCACTTCGCTCGGGTTTGTTCCTAGATTATTCTTTAAATTGACATAACTTTTTTTATTTACGAACTGATTTAAATAAAACAAATACTAAATGTTAAGTGAAGCATACCAGAATACGGTAATGAAAACCGCATCCAAATCGGTTAAGGCGTTTCTTAGATTAGCGCGCACAAACACACTGACAAACAAACACAAAATCTTAAAATCATTGTTTTGGGTTCTATTACGTTAATAAAGACCCACAATATTTAGTTTTTCTCAAACGTCTTTCATGTACAGACAGCGAACAGTTACAATTTTATTATATGTATGTATAGTTTTAAATAATTTTACATATTCCTATTTACATATAACTAAAACTTAAGCTACGAAACATATTCATTACAAAAACAAAATGAGTAATCCCAGATATTCATTACAAAAAACACAATTTCGTGTATTACGTGCGTTTAAACATAATAACTCTATTCAGAGGCGGCGTGACGGTCAATGCTCATGATGAAAAGTTAAAATTCCCACGTACATTGCCTTCATACTTATTAACTTTGATTATAATATCTTTTGGAATACGAATAAATAATTCATTTTCTTCTAATTTCGGCCAGCGGCTTTGCGCATGCGCAGTTTTTCTTAGTATTAAGCCAGGTTCTTGTTTCTTCGTGGTGGGGGACACCCTGGGAAGCGCGAGCTGTGCCATGCAGGTTGCTTCTAGTACATCTATGACAGCAGAGTGAGCCGTGGAAGCAATCCTCTAGTTGTTGTGGTCTGCTTTGGCCTGCCATCGGGGTATCATATTTGAATGCGTAAGCGATTTTGGGACGCCCCATTAAGACAGGGGAGGTTCCGTTGTATTTTCTAGCCGCTGAGTCCCAAGTTAAAAAAAAGGCATTATTCGTGAGGTTAAATTCTATGTACATAGGTTTCAAATAATCTATGTCCCTCTACAGCACATTAGCTATCTCTACGCATAAAATTACATTAATATATTATTTGGTACCTAAAATAAGCAGTGCAGTAAACATAAAGAGTACATACTATTATAGTAAGTACAGTAAATAGCACATAAATATAAATATGTTGGGACATTAACACACAGCACCATCTAGTTCCATGGTTAGCTACGAGGCTTGTGTTATGGATAGTTGATACGCTACACATAATATATATAACTTTTAAATACATGCATATTATAAATATAAACACCCATGACTAGAGTACAAGCATTCGTGTTCATCACATAAATGAATGCCCCCAGCGGGACTCGAACCCACGACTGCTGGCACAACAAATAGAGTCATTACAAACTGAACGAAATGTGTCGTATTTAATAATGTCATTTTGTAAAACAACGTGCATACCAACTGACCATTATACGTAATTCGGTATGAACTTAATCGAAACAGCCTTCTACACCGGAAGTCACAGATTCAATTCACGCACGCACTAAATATTTTCTACATTATTAAGAACACCTAGTACTAAAATAATTTCGAGGAGTAAATTATATCAACTACAAATGAGATTATTTTTTAATTTCTTGCGCTAGCATTACAAAAATATGCCTTATAAATAGTAAAAGGAGCAAATATTGAAAAAGGTTAGGCATCTGCGGTTATTGAACTTATTCGAGCATCAGATGTACGCGATGCGGAGATTTAACCAATAAGACTTAAATGAAACCGAGTGTACGTACACAATTTGAATTTTTAAAACGTTCTACGAAATACATATAACTGGTATTTCATAACTGCTCCTAACTTTATTAGAATTAGTATTTCTATTTAATTAAAAAAATACTAAATATGATCTCTATTTTTCATTCATATGTGTATTTTTCGGGCTGTCTTAAGTCTTTCTGTTAAGAAAGTCTCAGTAACAGCCCGGAGTTGGGAAGTTGGAAGTTGTTTTTCCCCTTGCCTCGGAGAGCAGGTAAAGCCGTCGGACCTGCGCCGGATCTCGCACCGGTCGTGTCGAATGGTCGAACATAGTAGTTGTCCACCGGATATGAGAGTGGCCGTAATAGAGAGTGCACTTGTGTCTGCGCGTACACTTGTGCACTATAGTATCTCCTGCGCAGTTGGCTAGCCTCAATGAGATTGGCCGCCGTGGTCGAAATCGGTCGAGAAGACATAATCGTCGGAGAGTGCACAGAAAGAAAATTTCATTTTTAAATTACCTGTTCAGTTAAAAAGTTTTATTGAATTTATTATTTTATAGATAAAGAGCCGAAATGAATTACATATTAGATATTTGTTTTATCTTTTAGATATAAAAGCTCGATAAAAGCTCGAAAAGCCACTTGAGGGATTTTGATAAAATTTGGTATAATGATAGTTGGTTATTCGGTTCAACATATAGGATACTTTTTACTGCGGGAAAATATCTCATCTCTGAGAAATCTATTATATTATTAAATATTTTTATACTATAAATTGATAAAAACCAATAATTAAACTAGACCGCATATCAGCAAAAGTTGTGAAAAGTGTCTTCACCACTGACAATATGGCTGATATTAATTAATTATTCGTCGACCGCACGATGATTTTTTTGACTTACTGACGCCGCTGCAGGCGATTTTACTTATTTAAACTGTATGTAAAAATATAATATTGTTTTTAATTTAGTGTATTGTACGGAAATAAACAAAAAAGAAGAACATGCTTTCAATGAAAATTTATATTATATATCCAGTGGCCAATTTTTTGCTAGGCGTTACATTTTAAAATATGTATAAAATTTATTCATGCAAAATTACCACTGTGAATGAAATGGCAACATTTACTCTAGAGTTTCTGTAAATGTCTCACCACGTTCAGAACAACAGACACAAAAATACGTTTCGCCCGTAACGTCACTTACCTATTCGTTAATTCAAGGCACTCGTATAAGACACACACTCAAAACTTTCATTTATCATTTATATATACGAGGGTGCTATAATCATTTATCTCATTCTGGAATCGAACTTGCCACCTATGTCGTAAATAAATTATATATATATATATATATATATATTATATATATATATATATATATATATATATATATATATATTAATTAATCTCTATTGGCACACAATTTCATTCACCTACTAACCAAACGATAATACATTTACGTAATTGGGATTCGAGGATAGAAATTCAAAAAGAAATATAAAAACCCATCGTTATCCTAAATTGTAGAGCGTACAGATAAATCTTTTTCATTTCCGCTTGACGGGTAAAAGAACGAAATCAACAATACCTAAAGGCTGTGTGGTTATTTCTCAAAATTTTGGCGAACAGCCAGCCGTGTGTAGTGTAGGATAGGTTCAAACAAAGCCAGGTGAATATATTAACTCGGTTCTATTTCTATTCAATTTTATAATGGAGGAACTAGATTTTTAAATAAAATAAAACTATTTTTTCGGATTTTCGTGGAATTACAATGATATTTGGTTCCCCCATGGTTCAGTCTCTTCCTTGACCATAATTACTGTAAAACATTCGAAACGACGGGAACCAAAAATCTAAATAAATCGGCGCAAATATCTAAACACAGTTTTATTTAAAATGTTAAATATTCGCGTAAATCTAAGAAAGTATTATAAGACCTACAACTTTGCTGTTTTTTTTATTTAATCATTAACTTTGCAAATTATTTAGCTATATATAATTTACACATACCTCGAGGTATCTACGGTTATCCATTAGGGCGGTATGTCGGTTTGTCGATATGGGACACAATTTAAATCTAGCAAAACGAAAAATCTAAAATCTAGAATTAGCACAAATTGCTGTCTTGCAAAATTCGAACCCACACGGATGCTATCTAATCTAAATAGATAAAAAAATCTCTACAATATTAATTTAAGGGCCTTATATTAACATAAATAAGTTTATACTTCATAGGTACTACTTTGAAAAACAAAGTTAAACTTGTTGAAAGTTTATCGGGCGATCTAATAATGTGTGTATAGCAATCAAACAGACGGAAGAACAAATTTATAAAAAAAACTGTTTTTAGCTACGGGACCATAATAATTTAAATTGCTTCAACAAAAGGCAAAAATTAAATAATCACTAAACAATCCCAAGCTATTCGACTTAAACTAAATAAAAAAACCTTTACATTAGTAAGTTGTAATCTATCAAGAGTCATTAAATAGCTACGGTGTCGGATATGCCATATCAAAATAACCGACTACTTTATGAAAGATTATAGCGCATCCGCCACTTGGGCGGTCTACAAAAGTCTAAAAAATATAATCGATTCCTTTATATTCTTAACTAGTTATTACCAGCGGTTTCGCTTGTGTACATTACTCTATAATCCAAGAGAAAGAGATCTTTAAAGACAGCAAAACGTTTATAAAGGTATCGTAGTATCTACGAGAAGTTTTATTTTTATCAACCAGGTTTTGTTTTTTACGCTATATATTACTTATACAATCATTCCAAAATATAAATGCTAGATCTATTTATGTACCGCAGGACCTACGGCTTTACGTGCTCTCCGAGGCACGGGGGTAAAACACCGTCAACTCTCCAACTCCGGGCTGGTACTGAAGCTATACAGAAAGCCTCAATAACTAAGCTTGGCCCGACCCAGGACTCGAACCCAGGACCTCCGGGTATGTAGCCATACATGCTAGACACTACACCACCGAGGCAGTTCAATTAATCTCTTACGTATATTACTGATAGAATAGATTAGCCCAAAACTGATCAATATTGAAAACGCCTTAATTCGAATGTTTTGAAGCGTGAAATTAGCGACACAAGCCAGACATTGAATGCCGGACTAACGACCCGTGGCTATGACGGCATGTAATGAAATTATAATTGAGCAAGATTCGTGCATCGATGTAGTGATTTGTCGTGGGCCTATTCGTGCTTAGTGGAAATTAAAATTTGAAGTAGCTTTGGGACTTATATTGGTAGTAATTATAAAAGCTAACGCCGAGCTTTATATGTACAAGTTTTTTATTTTTTTATAGTATGTATTGTTACCTAAAACTTTCACTTAAGTGCAACAAAGAACTCAAATCATATTTCGTTAAATGACAATTTTGTTTAAAAGAATTACAACTCAAGTAAAAAATAAAAGCCCAACCTGGAAAGTTTTACTAATATGCAAGAGTTTTACTATCCAAACTCTAGCTCCACCATGATATCATTTCTATAATACTAAATTCCAAAATGTCATCCATTCCCATATGGGAATTATTTTACAGGCCAATCTCCCTCGTATCCTCTCCATTCTAGGTGACATTGACGAAGTTTACTGTGCTTAAATGGAAAGTTTTAAACCCATTAACAAGAAATTGAACTGAATTGTCATCCATTGCATATTCTTACGAAATTTTAAATCGATATTACAATAATATAGAAGAAGGTCAAAATCGACTTTTTATACAAGACAGTTACAAGTTTGGCTTACTTTGTAGTGAACTTACATGCTATGCCAGCGGTCGCGGGTTCCAGTCCCGTTGGAATCATTAATTTGTGTGATGAGCACGTTTGTACTCCAGTCATGGGTATTTATATTAAATATACACTACACATATATAACTTTAAAATATATATACATATTATAAACTGTATAATATGTAGTATATATTTAAAGTCATATCTATATGTGAAGCGTATCAACTATCCGGTATCGATAACACAGGCCTTTCTTCTTTTAACACAGGCTTACCATTGAACTATGTAGATGATGCTGTGTGTTAATGTCTTAACATATATACGTGAATTTAATAGCAATAATGTTAATATATAAACTGTATAATAAAAACCCCCCAAAAAAATCTGTCCTTACAAATTGTTCATGATGTTGGCGTAAATAAACAAAAAATGCAATAAAACAAAATTTTTCTTATTCTTGTTTCATTTCATTAAATATTATATATATGTCGGAGACGGTCATCAATACGGTCGCTAAACGAAGCGCGGCACGACACCTGAGTGATGGCAGCACCTTCGGTATTATCGCCAACACTCGGCGAGCTTCGTGCTATGACGGAGCCTAGCTAAGGGAGGGGTGCTAAGAGGGCTGGACACTTGCCTTCGAGCCGAGCCAAGCTTAGGACCGCTCCACTAGGAACTGTCTTGCGTTCCGTATTGTCTATACGTGGTAATAGTGAAGTGGTATATGGCTGTGTAGTGAAGTGCTGTTTAACTATGTACAAAGTGATTATTGTTAATTTGAAATACAACTGTGATTGCATCGACTTTCATTTGAACCAACACTTCCCATATAACGCCCACTGTATAATTCATGATAAAATAATGGAAAATAATAGACAAAATTAATGTTGCTTCGATATCAGAAGTGGGATCAGTGTTGGTTCAATTGCAAAAAGAACTATCTCTGAGTGAACAATGACGTGCTATGTTCGAACAACAAAATGTCATTATGTGATCTCTTATCGAGGCCATGCAAATGCCTCGGATGAAGAAGAACATCAAGTTACGCGAGATTGACCCTAACAATATGGATACGGACGCAAGATCTTGATTTGCGACTGTAGATTTGTGTTTTGCCGAATACCCTCCATACGGCGGCTAACTTATTTTAACAGTCAGTAAGGAATTAAAAGGATAAGGGTCGACGTGGCTATCACAATTTGTATACCAGAGAATAACATAGGAAGAGTTCAAGGTGATTTTCAAGGCGAGATTTGTTTCCACCGAGACATTGGCTGGTACACTAATTAATGTTAACAGTGACAAACCAAATGAAAAAAAGAAACGTACGCAAATCGCCTGATGACGTCACTGACTAATCGTTGGAAAGACGCTAGCAAGAATCAGATAGCAATTGCGACTGTCCTTGCTCACTTATGTCAGTTTAATTCGAAAGTACAACGATTGGCCTTTACTACGTAAATTGCTTCGCGAGATCGACTGCAGCAGGGATTGCACGCATTGTCACATTCGAAACGCAAAGCTAGTTTATCTGATTATTTTTCAAAAGTGCCTGGTGCTAAACGAGCCAAGCTAATGTTAAAATGTTATAAGTGCAGAAAAGTGAGTCATAAGCGGTCATAGTGTAGAAACAAGGTAAATGACAGTGTGGAACGACCTTCGATGACAGCAACGGCATTGCAGCCTGCAGTAAAGTCTCTGGTGTGCTTCAAATGTG